CAAGGAAGATTCAATTTAACACAAATCTAATTTATTTAAAGCTGAAAAACGAGCTAAAAATCTCTGTGAACAGAGCTCGTCTGCCGTCACAACTCCAGGCTGAAGCGCAGTAAACTGTGGATGAAGGAGATGTGCTGCAGTCCTCACAGGCTGCCACTAACTGACCGCCTCACTTTACCAGACCTGGATCTGCATAAGCCGGCCTAACATATTCTTATGTCTGCCCTAGATGAAGTGATCTACAATCATAACCCATTTTCCAAAATTAGCCTCACTCTCTCACACTCCCTTTCACTAATATCTCACAAACACTCACTGAAAGTCAACCTATGAGAGTAACTGTTCAGCCTGAAACCAAAAGAAAGCACATATCAGTCTGACTGTTATTGCACTAATGAGCTTGTCTCATTTGTCCCTCGCGCAAATATTTTGAAAACAGACTCATTCTTAACAGCGACGATCTGGACTAATGATAGGAACCAGCCTCGATGCATTAATGTGGTTTGTTGCTTACTTGCTCTTGACAGCACACAGCGCACACAGGAAACCCCTCCGTTTGCGTGCACGTGTCTGTGTGTTTGTCACGCACACTACATACTGCCTCGTGTCCTAGAGTAACCCACAAACCCTTCCGACCCACTCTGTTCCCATCGAGCGCTCCGTTGCACGCATCCTACACTCTCACCTCCCCTGCACACGTGCACACACACACACACACACACACAAACTCTCCTCTTGATTTACTCCCACACTCAGAAGACGTCAAGGACTCATTTCCTCTCCCTTAAGACTCCAACTCGCCCACCTTCACCCCCCATTTCTCGTCCACTTGGAGTCTTACCTGTTCTGTTGTTTGAGGGCGACTGCTGTTTTCTGGGAGGTTGTGGTGGAGAGTCCTCTAGCCTGAAGGGAAGGGACAGACACACACATAGTCACAAAAAAAACTAAGGGAAAAATCTGTCATGTGTCAGTCTCACTTCTGTATTGTCAGAACTGCAATCTCACAGAAGTAGTACAAGAAGTACATGAGCCAGCATGTTGAAAGCTGCTGCACTGAATGGATCACCACAAAAGGCAAAGAGACACACAGAGCCAGACTAGAAAGATTCACTCTGCCTGTTATCACAGTAAATAAAGTTACTGTTAAAATCTCACACATTGAGTTTGACAAAAGGATCAGTGCCAACAAAAATGGAAAAGGGTGAAAGAGGCAGGATGGTACAGCAAACATCCTCCTTTAACTTCAGACACATTAATTCAGCTATCCATATCCTGCAAAAACTGAAGGCGTCTGCATCAGTCGGACTTAAATAAATCTCAATGACAAATCTGAAATCACTCATTGGTCCTTTAGGGAGGGCCTACCCACAAATCACCCATTCTGCACAGCTACAAACACACACATTCAATAAGTGCATCCCTACAGCCATTCTTATTCCATAAAACTTCCTGAACAGGCACTGCAGTGGTAGTTACAAATGGATGAAACAACATTTAGAGCAAACTGGCACTGGCAAACTTGTTGCTCTTTTATCTATAAGGCTTTAATTGCAGTCGTATTTCTTTGTAATGGACGGGAAATTCTAGCGTAACTGAATTGATCTTCTCCCTAAAGAGAAGGCTTCTCCAGAATGTGTTAATGCTTTGTTTTACTGTTTGTTCCAATCATATACCAGTGAAGAAGAAATGTTTGCTGTCTGTTATGCTCATGCTGGATATTGCTGACAAAGTATTAACTGTGGAAAACTTGCAGGTCACAGTACATCAACTTCACCTCTTACAAATTCCTAAACTGCTTTCGATAGTCTTGAGGCCATGTTTCAGCGCTGGTAATCACTTGAAGAATACCAGCAGAATTTCCCATGGGCATTCAAGCTAACATTTCCACACACACAGTACATGAGAGAGAAACATGCACACCCGCAAGTGTAAAGGGTATCCCAGTAGATGCCAAGAGGCGTGGGTTTTTCCTGTCACCAGGATAGCATCTGTGTCACAGCGAGGAGATTCAGACAAGCGCGTGACTCCTTTCCTTTTTTTCCCCTCCCTCTCCCTTTTTCCATCTCCCTAATAACACACAAACACACACACCCTTGTGGAATTTCCTGCCTACCAAGCTGTTGATGCTTCTATTTATAACAGAAATCTTGGGCAGCAGCGGCACTGACACCCTCGTCATCCAACTTGCCCCTTGGTAAACTCTGCTGAGCTGAACTGTTACAAAGTGCAGCGTCACCCTTTCCTTTCATTTCATAACTATTACTTCCCTTTTCATACATTTCTCCTCTCATTTCCCGTCATGTGTTTCACTCTGCAGTCCCGTCTTCTCGTCTCACCTGGTTTTGAGCAAATCGCTCATCTTCTGCTCCAGGTCTATCCTTTTGCTTCGCTCCCTCTCGAGCTCCTGCCGCAGGGAGTCCACGCTGGTCTCTTCCCGCAGCTTCCTCAGTTCCTCCTCTGGAGAAAACAAAACAACACAAACAGTGGAGGTCAGCAAATTTAATTCAAGTCAATTTTACTTATATCACACATTTATATTGTAAGGTAAAGACTCTACTGTAAAAGAGAAAAGACCCTCTATGAGCTAACTTGGTGAAAGTGGAGATCAAGAACTCCCTTTAAACAGGAAGAAACCTCCAGCAGAACCAGGGTTAGGGAGGAGTTCCCATCTAGTTGGGGGTGCGGGGAGGAAGACAGGACAAAAGACACAATGTGGAACTTATTATGTTATCTTTAATGGCTCATCCTGATCCCTGACCCTGGTACTGCCAGAGGTTTCTTCCTGTTAAAAGGCACTTCTTCCTTCCCACTGTCGCCAAGTTTGTCGCCAGAGGGTCGTCTGATATATTGTATGTGCTTTACTTTAAAATATAAAAGATGCTATATTAGTAACATTTATTTTTTCTTAAATGATGAGATTCATACTCTCACATGCTCAGGGTCACAAAAAGGCACATTAGAAGCAAGATTTAAATTTATGTGCAATGCCATTTTCAGTAAAAGAATTCAATTCGATAAAAAGAAAATTGCTGTGCGTAAAGATACTTTTCCCTGAAAAAACTGCGTCTGCTGAGTCGCGAATTTCTCATTTTATCCCTCCCGTTTATAGCCTATAATCTTCACCTCTCCTCCTCACTTCCTCCTTGTCAATCATGTGATGGCTTCAATTGGTTTCAGGTAACGGGACTTTCAAAGCCTGGGGTGCAAAATCAGCACTGTCTCACACTCTATTGCCCCTGAATAAAGGAGCACATGAATATTGGAGAAGAGAAGGCCAGAAATGTGTGCACGTGCACCCGTCAATCAGTACCCACTTACCCATTAGATGCTCGAATATCAAAAGGACAGATCGAGTCCACCTTCAAGAGAAATATTTCTGATTATCAGCAAAAGCTCTTCGAGGACAATCATGCCCTGCTGTAGCACCACTTCCATTGTGAACACCCTCAAAAGCACACAAATTGGTGTCTCAGTTAAAAACGAGAAACATCACCTGAAACGGGTGCAACATGTTCTTGAAGTAGCAAAGTGCTGAAAGTAAAGAAAGCAATGAAAGCAGCGCATCTCCCCAATCACCCACTTTTCTCAGAACATCGCACACCAGAGGAGAGGATTCAGATTACAAGACTGTAGCTGCCACTTTCTCGTTCTCATCACCCAGCCTCATAGCTCACTCTAGTCCTTTATTACATCCCATTAACACTAATAAAACATTCATTGGCAGAACCTCCTGCAGCTACAGCGCTGGCTTCAACCTGGGGTGCTGCCTCTGAGAGAGGACATACATCCAGTATAATGCGTCTGCCTCAGATTCTTCTTCTGCATTTCTAGTTTACTCTGAGCAGTTTGGGAAAATTTGGCTCTCTTTGAAGTCTTCCTTTTGTAAATCCTCTGCAGTGGTGCATTAAAGAAGAAAAACAACCCATTTTATCTCTTACTTCACAAAATGCAAAATGACTCCTTTCATACATTCAACAGTGGCTGTGTCTCTCCTCCCATCGGCACAGCATTCAAATATGTATGAAAACGTGCCTCTGTGTACATAACAGTAAGCAAAACAACACAGGCCAAAGGTTGCAATGGGCTTAAGCTGCTTAATGGTTGCCCTGTGCCATAAGATCTGCAGCCAACTTTAAACCTATTACATTAAAAGACTAGCAGCAGCAGCAGCAGGTATGATGCAAGCAGCAGTTTAGCTTTGAGTTTAGTGTAACATAAGCAAAGTCACTCTGTACAGAAAAGGAATTCATAATGACAATACTCTGAAAACAACCTGCATTAACTTTTGGTGAGGAGGAGCCACAAGTGGTAAATAAGCTGGAAACATGAAGACTTGAAGCAGCATCTGTGATCACCTGGAGCAGTGTCTGCAACATTAGGCCTGCTTCGCTTTCTACCACAATATCTGCATTATTTCCACAACACTGATGAGCGGTCCGATGAAACTGCTGAAGGACCTTCAAGTCAAGTAACATAATAACTAAACCAACCACAGGATCTCTTTCTTAATAAGATGACTTGGGTGGTTTTCACCGCTTTTTACCACTAATGCCCACTCGTA